ACGAGTTGACTCAATGAGAAAAATGAGGGTGGGAGAATCAATTACGAGTGTTTAGGGCGTGCCACATCGGACGCCACGTCATTTGGAAAAAACGTGGCATGATCCTGACCGCGTTTCTTTTTAAAGCAAATAAATAAATGTAGAGAAGTTTCTTGAAGGAAATTTGGAGCTTTCACACTGATCGACCATCGACGCGTGGTTGGGAAAATAACCTTCTAAATATTTTCTTTTATTTTTTTCCTGCTTTATCAGCTTCCATTATTAACTACTTTAATTAGTTTTCAAATTGGTTCAATATATATTGATTTTTTTTTTTTTTGGTATGAATGTTTCATAAATTTAAATAGGTCCAGGTCCAAAGCGTACAATCTCTGGTGTTACAGCAAAGTAATTCATAGATGATTTTGCAATTGAGTCACCCAACGAGTTGGCTTCCATCGGAATGAAATTGAAATTGATTTCAGTGAACAAAGTGGAAATTGACTTGATATCTAGGAGAATTCCGTGAATCTCCGATAACGATGGTCCGGTCGTGATGGCTCTGATGAGTTGGTGTGAATCAGCGAGTAGTCCAATCGATGTGATTTCCATATCCTTGGTGCGTAGTAGAGCTCATCTGGCTGCTAGAGCCTCCACCATCAGCGCGGATGCGACATGGTCCAGTGCTCTCGACCCTTGTGCGACGATCTCATCACCGGTGGTCTTCATTATCCATCCTGTTCCGGCCCAGCTCCTGTCTTCTCTCCATGCCCCATCGGTGAAGACTCTGGTGAAAGTTCCTTGAGTAGGCAATATCCAATTCCGGCGATGTTTCGGTGAGATTTCCGTTTTGATTGGTTGTGCTTGTTGCCATTCTTTTGCACTCTTGATTGAGTTTGTTATTGTGTCCTGCGCCGAGAAGACTTTTTTGGTGAAGATGAATGTATTGCGGGCTTTCCAGATGCTNCATANNATCCATGGAAATAATGGTCCTTGACCAATTCCAGATGGTGGAAGGCATCTCTCAAGCTTCAGTTGCTGTATTCCTGAAGTTATCTCCAATATGCTGAGAGGATTCATATNTTCTTGGTATGGGGCCAAACTCCATACCGTCTGTGCATAATGACAGTGAAAAAGAAGGTGAATCATTGTCTCTGTCTCTCCACATCGAATGCAACTCGCATGTGGGATGATGTGCCTTCTGACCAGGTTCTCTCCAGCAGATAATGCCTCATGAGTTAGTTTCCACATGAACAATTTTAGTTTCTAAGATGTTTTACAATTCCAAATCTCACTTTTCCAGTTGAAGGTCATAATTGCAGGAGTTCCTGGATCCAAATCTTCTGGAGCTGAGGAATGATATCCAGTTCATGTTGTGTATTCTCCTGAAGCTTGTGAGAGCCATACATGTTTATCTGGGCCAACATGCTAGGCTTGATGTTGAGGATCTTTGCTTCATATTTTGGTAGAATTTCTCATACTTTCTGCACATCCCAGTCTGTTGAGTTAGGTAGGAACAAATCGGCCACCTTCATGTCATAGATGTCCTTTTCTGCTGGCCCTATGGGGTTAACTTTGTGTGTTGTAGACATCCAGTTGTCCTCCCATAGGCTGGTGCTGGTTCCATTTCCAATGGCCTTCCCCATGTTGCCTTTGAGTAGATTCATTCCCATTAG